ATCCTATCTCATCATCACCATCGTCACTATCATCATCAGCTCTATCAACGCGATTCAAACCCGCGATTTGGTTGGCCTAATCCGACTCTATCCTGTGGCCCACTAGCAGTGGCAGATGAGATGAGGAGAAGTAGCGTTGTCATGAGACTCAAGACTTGAGTATGAATTCTATTGGGGTTGCTGCTACTGATAAGAATAATACTAATACCAATAATGATGGTGACGACAATAAGGCAAGATCACAACTGCATTCCAGCGTGGACGAGATAGCTATTTGTGAAATCCACTGACTCCATGAGACCTAATCATCAAATAATAGACAAATTCCACTATCAGTCCTTAATTCACCTGAGCTAAATTGAACTATAATGAAATAGAATAGGTTAGTGTTCTTTGATTTACAAATTATGGTTTGCCCGTTGTTAGACGTTAAGTTGGGTAAGCTGTTGAAAGCGGTAGAACGGGAAATGGTTTGAACGACAAAAATGGAGAATAGAAGTTACGCTACGACTAGATGCGCTGACGGATTGAGGCGAGAACGGTGGCATCCAGTTGGACTCGAGCTCAAGCCTCAGACGGATCGAGGGGAAGTCCCTACGGGACTCGAGCTTCAGTCGTATGTGGCCAAGCCAACCTGGAAATCGTGAAGTACAGATTTTCATCAGGTGTCGAATTAGGCATGCATGAGTGAAGCAATGGCCAAAAGCACTCCAGCCCAAATGTGGATCGAGATTGAAGCAGACGACGATGGCCTCATGCCGCTCTTTCTCGGCTTCTGTTCGGTGAGTTATGTGGCCCATCGCCGAGCCCGATGCGGGCTGAATTGGTACCAAAATAAACGATACCGTTTACAAATGCTGAGAAAACTTTGACGATTGCTGCACCCATCTTACATCAGCGTTCGAGAGTCCTCTTCTATGCGTAAGTCTGTATATGTATATTTATGTATATATGTATGTATGTGTGTATGTGTGTGTGTGTGTGCATAAAAACACATGCCCAACTATGCGAAATGGTGACAATAGGGTGAATGTTAGGATAAAAGCAATGAAGGGGAATAATCCAGCAGCAAAATTTCAATATCATTTACGTCTCACTGAAACTGAGGGCTGGATCATCTTTTCAGTCCCATTTTATGTGGAATGATGGATGGAATGCCCCGCTCTGGGGGGCAAGTCAGTGCTTGAGAGGAGATGCAATGCAAGCAATTTTGGCGAGAAATCGCAATAAAGTGTAGACTGTTTTTAGGTGCACTCTCGAGTACAAACGAGCATTTCATCATATTGTGTAAATTGGAGTACATGTCTATTAAAGTAATAAGCAGCAACCAAGTAGTATGGTTATCAGACGAATTTTTTTAACGGTGCACCAGTTTTAGTTGTTTTTTCCATTGATATGATGCCAAATTTGTCCGAAAGGAAGTCTTGAGAAGGCTAGATTCCTTCTCTGAATTGTACTTTGCCAGTCTTCCAAAATTATATCAAATGTATTCACCCTATTTCGTGTAAGGTGATAAAGACCTAGCAGTTGAATTTTCCCACATTGATATGATTAGAGCTGAAGTTTTCATTCAATTTCACAGTTCCTTGCTTTACCAAAAGGTGCTCTCGTCCTGGCTGGAGCGAACGGCAGTTTCTACCTCACCTTGGTCTTATCACCAGCCCCAGCAGGAGTCGAACCATGAAAATGTGGCATGTAATCTCGACACGTCATGGTTCGACTCCCGCTAGGGACAGAAATCGCTGTCCAGCCCGGATGAGGAGACCTTTTTGGAAAGCAATGACATGTGAAATTCAATTGAAACGTCAGCTTTACTCGTATGATTGTGGGAAAATCCAACTACCCTAACTTTAGGTGTTATAAGGCTGTTTGTGACCTACCAGAGGGATAATGGAACTAAACTATGTAAAGTAAATACAGATAAAGTGATAAAGCTGTATGTCCTTCAGCAAATGAGACGAATTAAGGTGATTTACGGATGGTCTCAAAATCCTACTTACGTATAAAAAATCCCAAAATTGTGCTTATTTATTACCCAGTGAGTAGTCAAGTGGCTGAGCCTGAAGGACCTCAAAAGTAATAATAAACCGTACCATTAACTTCTCACTCCTCTGCTCTCAACAATGAATAACAATATCCATCTCAGATGGTGGCAAAATGACAATTTGTTGCAACTAAATGCTTGTCTGTCCGTCTACAAATCCCAGCCTACTAAGCATAAATACAAGGAATATGAAAAATGTACCAGTTTTCACAAAATTTCTTCAATTTCTGCAGTCCTACCAGGTGGCCAAGGGGTTTCTAGGCTGGACACCAGTTTCCACCTTGTCTCGTCTCACCGTCCCATCCACCCGCTCAGTGGGACTCGAGCCCAGCTGGTGCGCTTAAGGCGACGACACGTTTTCACAACGCAACACCGCCACATCGCCACGGGTCGCGGTGGTTGACAGGACATTTGTGACCTTCAAACTAAGCCCCTACTGTACCAACTCACAGTGGTGCAAAATTGAAATTCTAATTAACATCGACGGCAGTAAGTAAGTATATAAGTAGTGATTAGGTTAGGGGACACTGCGTGATCTGAGGTCGTGTAAGGTCGTTTGTGACCGATCGGGGTGATAATAAAACGAAACTATTTAAGGAAAATGAAGATAAATTGATAAAAAATTGCCAATTTCCTCTTGTTTCAATCAGAGTCTGGAGGACTTTCGACAAAGGTGTCCAATCGCAAAGCTGACTGCTGTAGAATAAAGATTAAATCGGCTGAGGGACAGCATAGATACCTCAATGAATAAAGAGGTGGAGGAGGCAACCAAATCAAGCAAATATAGGACAGAATAAAGAACATTATCTGCCATTTCTTGCTAAAGCCAACTGAATACGTGCTTTTTTAATTGCTGAAATCGACAAGATTTGCTGTTCGTTGGCATTTTGTACACTTGCTTTGCCAACAGAAAAGCAGTAAAATCCATATAAAATTGCCGGCTGACTTGCTGATTGTCCATTCAGGCCAAGTCTCGAATAATCTTTTCTATCACTCGCTAGCTCCGGCTTAAGTGCAATACATGCAGTCAATTCGAAAGGGATGTGCATTCCGTTGACCCAAATCTGGTAGGTCAGAAAGGCGATATTTTAGA